CTATCGAAAAACAACCCACACTAACCAAGTGCTCCATTACTAAAGTAATAACCCAACCTCCCACAAGAGGAACTGTGTAAGAACATTATTTAGATGAGCACAAATGCACTGCAGCAACCCAGAACACCAGAAAAAGGAAACAGACCACCTATACAACATCTTTCAACAAAATGGATAGCCACACAACTTTATCAAAAAGTGCCTAACCACTCAACCCACTACAGCACAACCAACTGCTATACATCAGAAACATCTCAGAAACAACCAACAGACTCTTACAACCACACGACATCACCACAGCACACAAACCGACTAAAGCCCTCCAAAACACTGTATTCTAAATAAATTGTATTCTAAATAAATAAATAAATCAAAAGACCCAGTAGCCCAAGAAGAGAAAGCAGCAGGATGGTAATAGCGATTATGTAGGACAGGCAGGCAGGAGACTAGCAGAGCACATCCTAAGCAGTCAGAGGACACAATGAAAATCAGCAGTCAGAGGACACAATGAAAGCTCCTTAATCTCACAACACATAGACAGACTCAACCATAGTTTCATCTGGGAAACTGTGAGCATCTAGACCAAGCCAAATCCAAAAACATTAGGGAATTCCTGGAAGCTTGGCACACATCAATAGACACATAGAGATAAAGCACATTTACACACCATTCAAAAGAAACAATAAAGAAAGCTAAGGAAGGAAACAAAAGAGCAGAACACATCCTCTCCAGCAGTCTACACCCAGATAAGCAGGGATTAACACCAGACAAATAATCAAGCAGAAAACTATACCCTAATCGAGAAACTAACAAGGAGAAAATCACACACCCCACCAACACTGGCAGGGCAAGCTACTGTATATAGACAGGGAGTAAACCCCACACTCACTAGCACTGATAATGTTACCTAGTTTGGTAATGAAACATATGCAGTCAAACAACAAAGTTTAGAGAGCACCAAGGACTCCATAGATCAGAATACAGTTAAAAATATTCTGCCTTCCAACCTCAGAAAAAGTGACAGAATCTTTGTCTCAAATCATACAGTCATATTCCTATTATAATTTGGATCTCCCAATACTTGCTATCTGGAATTATTCAGAAAAGCCATACTTCTATGTTAGAATAATCAAAACAGAATCCAGACCTAAAACTTAGGACATAACATCCCAAACACTAGAAAGATCTGAAATCAGAACAAGGCTAATGCTGAGGATAGTGAATAAGTGCTTTCAGGCAAGAGTTTGATTACAAACTCTTTGTAATGTATTGTAACTCTCGTTGTGCCTCATTTATAGATTGTCAATTTATAACAATCCTACATTTTTCTACTGATTTTTATGTCCTTGTTTCCCACAAAAATCCATTGGGGAAAGAAAGATGGAATAGCTTCATAATGTTGTCTTTTTATTTGTAATACCAACTGCTTCCATCAGAGAGTAACCCAGGACCGCATGGTGTATCTTGTCTGGCTTGATTACCTCAACCAAATTTTAATTTTTTTAATTTTTGTTTTACCAAAAGTATACCTTTCTTATTTTCATTTTTTTTCATTTTTACTCTTTTGAATTTTGTTAAAATCAATATATAAAGCATATGTAAAACCAATGTTCATCCATGCATTGGACAAACTCATTAAAGCTTTCTTTCAAAGTTCTAGGGTTTATAAAACATTATTTTGAAAAATATGGTTCTTGACATTTTGGAAATTTTGGTTCCTTGCTGTGCCACACAGTCTTAGAGATATATGAAAAAATTCAACTCCCACCTCTGACATAGCCTTATCTCTCAGGCTCCAGTTCTTACCGGATAGGAATCTTAACTCGGAGATAGCGATCCACAGCAATAGCCAATAATGCCAAGATGGAGCTTTCTGTGAGGATGAGGACAGGACATGTCACCATCAGGCAGCTGTAGTAATGGATGTGTGGTCCTATGTAGATGATGATGGCAAGAGGAATTACAAGTGCTCCCACAGCTACATCTGCCACTGCCAGAGACACAATAAAGTAGAAGGTGGCATCCCGGAGGGACTTGTTCACTTTGACAGCCCAGATCACCAGGATATTCCCAGGGATGGATACAAGGGCAATCAGCACCTCTATGAAGATGTAAGCAACTTGGAAGTCCGAGATGTTATGCGACATGGTGGTGTGATGCTCACTAGCTTCGGACCCTTAAATTGCCTGAAATAATTAATGGAGACATAAGATATGGACAGCAATAGCTACTACAGAAATTCAAGCTATCCAGTTTCTTCATAGAGTGTGGCACAAATATATACAAATATACACACATTTCATAATCTGTATTTACTAAATCTTGCAAGGCAAAAGGGTTTCCTGGGCAGGGGAATTCTACATTTTAAAACCTGCATAACTACACCATTTTTCCCAGTTCCAACTAAGCAGCCCTTCTCCAATTTGTCACCAAGAGTTTCACATATTGGGTATGTAATATGAGTAGAGCTATTGCACAGAAAAACTTTTCTTCCATCAATCTAATTGCTACAATTAAGGCTGAGTTCTTCCTTCTTGCTACATTTGATCTAATCCATCCTGTTCAGCAATCATATAGAGTTCAGTTGATAGCATTTGAAGGAGCAATTCTGAACACTGCTGATTCACAGCCCCATGAAGCCTTTCTAGAAGAGATGGCTCTTCTTGAACATATGCATATGTATTGATATCTGTAATATTGCTGCTTAAATGTTTTGCATCCACTCTACAAAACTGTAACCTCCTTGTCTTCTAGAGCAAGGAAATTCCAAAATGCAACAACTCCTTGGAAGGACTTCTTCACATGTCTACTTACCTGAGAAAAAACCACACTCAGAAAATAATTCAGGGACTGGGGCTTCCAGGCTTACCTCCCAACCTTTTTTACCAATCTAATCCCTGCCTGACTGCATTTGATGGAGCTTCTGTTATTTTACTACCATAATGCCAAATAAATCACTGTGGTATAATGGTCTTGATGCTGAACAGAGTGGGGAGACCCAGGTTTTAGTCCTACTTTACCCATGGAAGCTGACCGGGTGACTTTGGGCCACTCACTTTCTCACAGCTGCACTGGGTGGTTGAAAGCCACATATCTACCCAACTGCCCTGGTTCAGTGTGGTAGATTACTGTCCCTGTCTTTCAATAAATCATCCCAATTAGGTTCATCTTAAAAGCCATAGATTTTAAACTGTGAAAACAATTCACTAACCACATATATTTCAGAAGCAATTTATTTCTGAAATATACAATTAATTAAAGGGGGGACCACTGTTTAGATGCATTCAGGTATTTAACAGCAAACATTCAAGAACCTTAACAATATGTAATTGTAGGGAGAGGCCTGTGGCTCAGGCAGGCATCCAAAGTCAAAGATCAAGGATATCTGATATACACAGAAGTGTCCCCTATTTTTATCAGAATGATGAAGAAGGCTAATAGTTTTTTTGCTCAATGTGCAGTTTTTATAAGAATAGCAAGGGGCTTCAGGGGCGTCCATGGGGAGGGGCGTCCAAGAAGTCAGGATGGTGGCTACAACCATGTGATTGAAGCCCTGTCCCTTTTGTACATGCATTGCAATGCTTTAAAGAAAAATTAAGAACTGTTAAGATTGTGCATGAAATTAGGCCAAACTTGGGTACTGTTGATCTGTAGAGCTGGGATGTGCAACTTTTTCAGAATAAAAGGCCTTATGTTGCCTGAGGTTACAGTGTCAAAAAAGTAGGTACAACATTTAAAATTGGTTTTCACTTCATATGCATACTTTATTTAATTAAAAGCACTTCCACATAACTGTTTTGCAAGGTCCAAAATCAGTTCAGCACCTACATGATCTCACATTGTCTGTCTTCTCAGACAATTTATTTCCAGCTCAGTTGCAACGCATCCAAAATCACAAAAGTGGCAATCTTTTCATTTGCACATTGAAACTCTACAGATCTTGTCAGTGTGACATTATCCCACTGGGGGGGAAGTTGCTTCATTCTACCTTCCAGGTCTTTGGCTCAAACCAACTTCTTCCTCCTCCCCCAGAGATTCAGCTGCCTTGGACCTTGACAGCTTTGTATCTCCCCTTCCACAATAGTATTGTTTTGTTTTCATTACTAGGCAAATGCACACTACATGAACTAAAGATCTAGAAGGGAAAGGCACTGACTGCTCTTCTTGGGCTCTCTTATCGCACAGCTGGAAGATAGAACTGTCCTCAGCATTTCAAGCATTGAGCTGAGACATTGGGAAGTGGAAAATATGCTGCTATATGAAGAAGTACAAGCTGGTAACAACTTTTGAAGGCCTCTGGGGCCCACAAATGACATGGGGAACCCTGATTTTATTTATTTAATTATTTATCACGCAAATTTATATACAGCTTATTTCTCAAGGAAGTTTACAGAAACGGGATACGTATAATAAAAACAGGAGCAAGCAATTTATCTAAAAGGCAACCAACACGCTGTTAGGTTCCAAATACATGGCAGAAGAGCCAAATCTTAAAGGCAAAAAGGTTCAGGGTATTCCTTATCTCAGGAGGCAGATGATTTCAGAGAGAAGACATGATATTTGCTGCCTCCCCACCCCCCACCTCTTGACTTCACAGGGAGTGGGGACCCTCCATAATCTGTCTCTGCAAAAAAGATGGGATGGGCCAGAACTTGATGGGTGAGGTGGTCCTCAAGGTATCTGGCAGCCAAGCCATGAAGGTCCTGAAAGTTGATCACCAGCACTTTGAACTGGATCCAAAAACAAATCAGTTGTGCACCTCTGCTGCAAACTGATGAATATGGCAGAACCTTGCACTTCTCAACATTAAAGTATTAGAGCTAAACTTTCCACAGAAGCTGCATGCCATGTTCCCATAGCTATAAATCATCTCTATTATCTGTGCTGCTGGACTTCACACACTTTCTGTCTATAGGCACAGTATTTAGCGTGACTCACCATCTCAAATGGTTATATCTATTACATTTTGGAAGTAAGTCAACCCCATTTAGATCAATGGGTTGGATTGTTCAGCATGGCACTGAACAAAAACAGCAAGCAAATCAATTGTGCCATTCAATAAAATGCATTTTACTGTGGCCCTTTGGAACTGTCTATCACTGAACAAGTTTCCCCTTTCTTCAATCGATTATGATTTTTCAGTAATAAGCCTGCACCACTGAGCATTTTTATGTTTGTAGCTGGTAAGCTTATCTTAAAAAGAATACTTCTCCAACTTTCCATTACATTACATATTTGATAGTAGAGATGGAGATGGTTTACATTCCCCTGTACAAACCATATTTAAATAGACATTGGATGGCCATTGGCCAGGCATGCTGTAGTTTGTTTCCTGCATTGTAGAACCTGAACTGAGCAGGGAGTTGGTCTAGATCAGGGTCCCCAAGCTCTTCAGCTCACGGACTTCTTCATGAAGTTTCAGATTGTTCATCAACCCCCAAATATTTATTATATGGCAATAATTTAATAAATACTACTTTAACTAATTGTACTACAAATAATAATAACAACAGTAATGGATAGTCCCATTGACCCTTGGGAGTCAATACTGACCACTTTGGGGAATCCTGGTCTAGATAACGACCAACATCATTGCAACTCTTTGATTCAGCATCATAGTTTTTCCTCTATTTATGAGCTATTGGACAATTTTAACATGTGACCTGGCAATCACCTTATTTTTGCCTTGTGATTATTATACATTTTAAGCCAGCACTGTTGTCAAATAGATGGACAGCAAGTCTATTTCATCCTTCTTTTAATAAGATGCCAGCCAAGGGTTGAACCTGGATCTTTTGAACCTGGATCCAGGTTCAACCCTTGGCTGGCATGCACTCTATCAGTGAGCTACCCTTTTCTTTGATGTTGGATCTTTTCATTCCTCCTACAAATGTAGTAATCAGAGAAGATTTCTTCAACTTATAGGTGTAATGCAGTATCCTGTCCCCCAGATAATAGGTAGAGTGCACAGACAGGCTGCTCTTTCCATCTAAGAATCAAATGTGGATAGTATACACTTCTTCATAGGAATTGGGAAACAGAGCAGTCCAGAATAACCATAACATAAACAATTTTCAAATAGTGGCAAACAAGGAATGGTGTCATTTGCAATTAATCACATTAATATTCAGTGGCCACATCAGTAGGTACAAGCAGCATATTGCACATGTCAATAACAACAGCAGTGAAAGCATAACTGAGGGGATGAATGACTACATTTCTCCAGGTATGACATATTGTGCTTTTTATACTTGAAAAATGTGATTCCACTATGAGACAATGGCAACCTTGGAGGGAAGAAATGCAAATTATGCATAACAAATAAGATGCAAATGTGGATTTAGTAGGCAAAGAATGGGTTTTATCACAATATAGACTTCTTGGTGTTACACAAGTCCCTTTTTTGTCCCATTATACTTTCTAATTAAACTGGTGTAGCATGTTCTCACAGCACATCCACCTGCACTGGGAAAGGCTGTGCACTGGGGGTGGGGGGTGGGGGGACAAGCCTTGAGGAATATGCCAGCAAGTGTCGCAATAGATACATGCATGATATTTTTGAGCAACAATCAAAGGTGCCTCTTGAATGAATCCCCACACAAATGCTTTCTCCCATCTCCATTCCAGAACACTTTTGGACCTGTGTGTTTTCCTTCTACAGAGAGATTCCCCCCCCCCCAAATAAACCCCACACCACCATCCTTCCCATTTTATTACTTTTTAGAAACATCCCCCTTTGGGATCCGGCAGAATACCAGCTTGAGCCAAACAAAGGCTCGGTGGCAAATAAAGCGGATACCTCTAAGATACAGCTGCCCTTTTCTGTTTTCTACTTTGAATACATTCATTTGGGGGAAAATATCAGTGCAGCATAACCATTGCTGGCCAGGTGCCGCTGAAATGTCATGGACTACATTGTCTCTCACGCACAGGGCAGTGAAAGTCCAATCTATCTGAAGGGCACCAGGTGCAGGGAAGCCTGGAGGGCACTTTCAGGGACTGGCACAGATCCTCTGCCCCTCGGAGAGAAGTTTGGTTCTTCAGAACAGCGACCGCCGCCTGACCTCCAGCCCTCCTTTTCCCTGACAGTCGCCCCGTCAACCGGACTGTCCCCCCACCTCTCCCTGCCGTTTTTCCGCCCTGATCTCAGACCCAAGGCGCCCCTGCTCTCCCGGCTTCCCTTTCCAAGGATGCCTCTCCGTCTCCTCGCCGCTTGCGGTCCCGGCCATGAGATTCAATCCTCTGACTTCAGGCGATCAAGAAAGAGCCGAGATCACCAGGTGCCAGAAAGCGCTGCGCCCCGAACAAGCCCGCGCTCCGAGGCTCACCTGGCCCCGCGCGCGCGGGTCACCTTTTCTTCCTCCGGGCGAAGCCTTCCCACCCCGGACAGGCTGGCGGCGGTGGCGGCGACGGCTGCGGGAGGGAGGGGATGGGAGCATCCTGCTCTCGGGCGGCTTGGTCCCTGGGCTCCTGTATCTCTGGGCAGCCCAGGATGCCACCCGCCCGGCCGGCTCCTGGCTGGGACTCTTGCAGTTGGGGCGGCTCACTGCGGTGAATTTGGACCCTGGTGCGGCAGGCGGCTCTCACCCCGAAGTCTGCTCTCCCCCCGCAGCTTCTCGCTGCCGACCAAGGTATCACATGGTCCAGCGGACTGCACCGAACAGGGTCCTTGCGGTATTTTAAAGAGCGAGTCGCCTGGTTTGAGGGTCTGTGGGGCACAGTGCGCAGGCGCGCGTGTCCGGGAGCTTGGGTGTGTGATTAGGCGCCCTGAATCGCAACAGCGCCGCTGCACCAGAACCGCGCCGCAGCGCGCCGCTTTCCTCTCTGCCTCAGCAGCTGAAAACCGGGGCTAGAAAGCCGGCCAGTGCTCTGCCAAAGTCGGCATTTCTGAAACTGAAATGAGCCGAGTCCGGAGGTGCCCTGCTCGGCTCCTTGTCCTCGACTGCCAGAAGCCACAGAAGCTACTCAGAGCTTCTAGAAAAGCCAACTCTGCTCATGCCCCCAAACCCCTCCGTTCCTTTCTGCTTCACTTGTGCCGACTTACCTTAGGGTCAAAAAAAAAAAAAAGATTTCAAGCAGAAGTCAAGATTTCGGTTAGTGAGAAGCATCCTCTGCCTGCGTTGGCAAGCGAGAGTAAGGCTTGCACGTGAACCCGGGAGACGCTCGCTCACTCTCGGGTGTCTCCCGTGGCCCCAGCTGCCTTATCTAGGGCATCCATTCGCGGTGAGGGGCTCGCCCAGCTTCCAGTCGGTGACCCTTCTGGCGCCTAGGAAAGACCTCCTGTTAGCCTCCCGGGGTTTAACACCGGTACAGCTGGTTGTTCTGCTGGTTTAACCTGCTGCTCTTGTTGTTCTGCAGTTACGCTGTTCCTGATTCCGTCTTGTTTTCCAGAGGGCCATAGAAACTGATCTTCGATAGTAATGTGTGGTTGAGATTGTAGGGTGCTGGAAGGGATGTCAAAGATTATCTAGGGCAGCCCTCTGCCTCTCCAAGAAACCTACTACTATGGCATTCCAGAATAAATAGAACATATTTCTACGGAATCGTACTAGAATGTAAATTTAGGCTAGAATCAGATCAGCATCAGAGTGAGAGAGATCTAAAATTAAAAGCACTGAATTCCATAAGCAAGGTATTTCAGTTCTTTGAGAATGTCAGAAGCAGATGTATGAAGATTATCTAGTGAAGACCTTCACCAAAGGCTCCATAATTAATTTAGCCATCACGGGATCAAAGAACTATTCTTTCTTTATTTGTTTGTTCATTTGTTCATTTTGTATGGCTGCCCATCTCGCCAAGTGACTCTGGGCGGCAAACAAAATTTAAAAAAACAATTAAAATAATGCAAACATTAAAATACATAGCAGCTGAGAATAAGGCACCCACCATAATGGCTACTGGTATTAGTTCTTACCAATCTGTCATTCTTACAGATTGGTAAAAAGTTAAAGATTGGAAGCAAGAAATTGGGAATGAATTGACAGCTCTTGCAAAGGAGAAATGCAAACAATCAAGTTCTTCAAGTACAATTATTGAAACTGGTACTATTACTTTTCTTCAGAAATGATCTAGAGTTCAGATAAGCAGTGATATGGTCAGGTCTACAGAATAAGAAAAAGTCTGTAAGCAGCATTAAAAGTACTGTTCCAAATTGCATGATGGCCAATGACATTGGAGCAAAGTATACATTAAGGAGTCTACATTAAGGCAAAATGGCTTAAACTCTTATATATCTGGTTGGTATCAAAACAGGAGGTGGCTGATAGGGAAAGAGTTCTCAGAGTTATGTTAGTAACTTGATGAAACCTATCTCTGGGAGCAGTGAAAAGGATGAATTCCATGCTAAGGATCACTAAAGAAAAAAAAACACACACAAAACTGCCAAGATTTAAGTAATTTTAAGCAATACCCATATTTATAATGTAATAGATTTGGAATACTGTGTACATTTCTTGTTTCCACATAACAAAATGGCTATTTTACAGCTGGGAAAAGACAATAGACAACCTCAGGAGGATGGTCCAACTCCCCTATGAAGAAAAGATTATAACATTTGCATTTTAGAAATAAAAGGTAAGCAAGAGCAGACATGATACAATTGATAGAACTAATCACAGAGAAAGCTTATAAGTGTGGAAAAAGTGGAGAAAGGAAACATTTTCATCATTCTAGAACCTACCCAAGGCTAGCAGAATACTGGGAGATTCCAGACTCCCAGTTTGGGGGTGGAGGGACTTTTCATGCAATTAATACAGAATTTGTTAATCAGATATGTAGAGATGGCCTAAAATGACATAGCTTTAAACAGGAATAGATTTATTCTTGGAGGATGTCCATAGCTTTGTGATTCTTCCAGAATCCAATGCAAGATTGTACCTGGGATCTAACTGCTGAGGAGCAATTGCCCAAAGGAGACGCTGTCTCTACATCTTGCAGGCTTCTCAAAGGCAGCTGCTGACTGGTCTTTATGAGCAGCAGGACGAACAGATTAGGCTTTCCTCATTTTCTTACATTTTTAAATAGTATCATTTTGATCTAAATTGGGGGTTGAGATGATTGGGAGTACAATTTTAGATATGATGACAGAGATTTGTGAATACTCATCTCATCCCTATAAACTTTTGCAAAAGAGACCCACTCAGATCCCAGCCTAGATGTGAGGGAAGTGGGGGGGGGAGGCACACAGAAGAACTTTTTAACCATGCACTTTTATCAAGTGAACCCTCCTCACACTTCAAAATTGCCCTTTAGGAAAAATGTGTGCCTCCAAGTGTCATGCTATAATTAGAGTACTGGAAGAATCTTGAGTAAGTTTTTCTTTCAGCCTATTCTACCCTATAAGATTGCCATGCAGACAATTTGGGAATGGGTAACTATGCTACATATGGCACCTTGAGCTCCTTGGAGGAAATGCAGGATATAAATGCAGTAAATAAAGGAGCATCAGAGCAGTTCACAGTATGCTTGTGGCTACGTTTCTGTGATGTCATAAACAAATTCATTCCTAGCAAGGGATTAAGAACATATTTCCTATTGGGAGCATTTCTATTGCAGAGACATCACAGATCTAATAGAATTATTTCTCTTTTGTAATTGGATGCTAATCCCTTCTATAAAATCACACATACAAATTTTGCTTCAGCTGTCCACTGTATGCATGTCTTTAAATGTGTTATTTTTAACGCTATGTAATGATCGGTACATAACTATCACCATCACTCATTTGCTCCAATGCCAGAACATGCTTTCCTTAAAAAAATTCTAGACACCATGATTAACACATATGTGTAAATCAACAGCACAGAAACTGAATCGATTATTGCTGTTTTGCATGGATGATACATTCTGATGTTTAATGTCTCCTGCTATTTATCAGGAGACATCACAGCAGGACTTTCTGCAGATGTCTTGGGTTTGTATGTTAAGTGGAGCCACGTGGAGCTGAGAATTGGATGAGGAGGCTGTATAATTGTTTGAGCATATGCTTCTCTTACCAGTCAGCCTACATCCAGCCAGGTTTTTTGATGGTACTGCAAATGGCCACTGAGATATCACCGTACAGGAATGGCACATAGGAAGCTTCACAATGAAGAGTTCTACAGTTTCTTTTCTTTTGGCTTAGCACGTTATGTGGACCTTGCTACTGTTTTATACCATGCTTTAACATGCTGTGTGAACCCTACAAATTTAGGTTTATTGAATAAAACATGGTTAAACAAACCAAGATTTGCTGCAGCATGTGCATTACAGACCCAGACTGTTAGCCTATTCAGATCAGTAATGTCCACACACAACCCAACAATGTCTTGCCTGGGTTTCATAGAGGAATATTTTTACCTGAAGATGCTGTGGACTAGACCTTCTATGAGGAAAGCGTGAGCTACTGAGCTTAGACCATCTTTTTGATAGTGCACCAAAGTGAATTGATTCAGACTTTCAGGGGATAAATGACAAACTGAAGACAGCTCCAAAAAGTGGAGCTGATGACCATGGTGGAATGAAGAGACGGCAAGTAGACTGACTCTTTGTAATTCCTCTCCAGACAAGGAGAGGACTTGAGATTGCCCACAAGTGCTTCAAACAGTTGCTCCTTGCAAGGAGACCACAAGACAGCAGTCTCTGGCAGGTTTAGAGGTCTGGGAGACAAGGCAATAGTCATCTTACTCAAATCACAATCAGTGCCTTTAAAAGGACACAGGGTTCACATACAGTGGTACCTCGGGTTACGAACCTCTGTTAACGAACTTTTCGGGTTACGACCAGCTCCGGCTGCAAAAATTTACCTCGGGTTGCAAACTCCGCCTCAGGGTACGAACAGGATATGCAGCCATTTTCCCTGCTGCCACGCGGTCGTGGCTTCCTGTGGGTGAGATCACGGTAGCAAGGAGACGTTCGGTGAGGATTGT